GGGGCAGATGGGACTGGAGGGGCAGGAGGATGGAGATGAGATGGGCAGATGGGACTGGAGGGGCAGGAGGATGGAGATGAGAGGGGCAGAAGGGACTGGAGGGGCAGGAGGATGGAGATGAGAGGGGCAGAAGGGACTGGAGGGGCAGGAAGACGGAGATGAGAGGGGCAGATGGGACTGGAGGGGCAGGAGGATGGGGATGAGGGGGGCAGATGGGACTGGAGGGGCAGGAAGACGGAGATGAGAGGGGCAGATGGGACTGGAGGGGCAGGAGGATGGGGATGAGGGGGGCAGATGGGACTGGAGGGGCAGGAAGACGGAGATGAGAGGGGCAGATGGGACTGGAGGGGCAGGAGGATGGGGATGAGGGGGGCAGATGGGACTGGAGGGGCAGGAAGACGGAGATGAGAGGGGCAGATGGGACTGGAGGGGCAGGAGGATGGGGATGAGGGGGGCAGATGGGACTGGAGGGGCAGGAAGACGGAGATGAGAGGGGCAGATGGGACTGGAGGGGCAGGAGGATGGGGATGAGGGGGGCAGATGGGACTGGAGGGGCAGGAAGACGGAGATGAGAGGGGCAGATGGGACTGGAGGGGCAGGAGGATGGGGATGAGGGGGGCAGATGGGACTGGAGGGGCAGGAAGACGGAGATGAGAGGGGCAGATGGGACTGGAGGGGCAGGAGGATGGGGATGAGGGGGGCAGATGGGACTGGAGGGGCAGGAAGACGGAGATGAGAGGGGCAGATGGGACTGGAGGGGCAGGAGGATGGGGATGAGGGGGGCAGATGGGACTGGAGGGGCAGGAAGACGGAGATGAGAGGGGCAGATGGGACTGGAGGGGCAGGAGGATGGGGATGAGGGGGGCAGATGGGACTGGAGGGGCAGGAAGACGGAGATGAGAGGGGCAGATGGGACTGGAGGGGCAGGAGGATGGGGATGAGGGGGGCAGATGGGACTGGAGGGGCAGGAAGACGGAGATGAGAGGGGCAGATGGGACTGGAGGGGCAGGAGGATGGGGATGAGGGGGGCAGATGGGACTGGAGGGGCAGGAAGACGGAGATGAGAGGGGCAGATGGGACTGGAGGGGCAGGAGGATGGAGATGAGAGGGGCAGAAGGGACTGGAGGGTCCAGTTGGTGGAATGGTCCTCGGTTACCGTTGCCATGTCCGTTTCTCCCGGCGTTTGCTGACTCCTCCCCTTTGTCTCGGTTGCAGTTTGTGGTGCATGAAGTCCCCGGCCAGGACTTGGAGGTCGATGTTTATGACGAGGACCCTGATAAGGACGACTTCCTCGGCAGGTAATATGGTGACCAATCACGTCCATGTAAGCACGCGGTCTCCACATTTCACATATGACCAGACCAAGGCTTTGTTCACAACAACGCATTACGGTAACGCAGACTAACGCATTGACTCCTCCCCCCGGAGTGTCAGTCAGACAGAGGCACTCTAAAGGCAAACCTCCTCCACTGTGGGAATCCCATAATGAAGGGAGACACCGGTGCCACGGATTCACCGCGGATTCACCGTCTGTATATATATTACACCGCAACCTAAAATAACATTCCACGGACCCGACACCAAGCAGTGCAAACCTGGCTCCGGTACACACAGGAAGAGTAGTTGATGTTGGGAGCAGACCTCCGGCAGAGGTGGGGGGGG